AGGGCTAGCAACCCTACCTTGTAAAACCAATCCAATCACTAAAGAAACTTCAAAGCACAAAGGAGATATAAAAAATAAAAACAAACTTACTCCTCGCTGAAATCGGAGGGGTGAAACGACGCCGGTTGGTGAAAGCCTTCGGGAAGCCAATTGGCCGATGTGTCTACCCTCCCTCGATGAAAGCGAAAGTAAGAATGGGGATGTGGAATGTCCGCACTATGTTTGAACCTAGCAACGCTGCCCAGATTGCAAAAGAAAATGAGAAGGTATAGTATTGAAGTGCTAGAAATCTGCGAAAGCAGATGGAATGGGAGTGGAGTCTTCAAACTGTCAACTGGAGAATCAATAATCTATTCCGATATTGTCACTCAGACGACAACCACGAGCACACTCAGTTTTGGAGTGGCTATCAAAGTGTCTCCAAGAGCATCGAAGGTTCTCATGCAGTGGGAACCAATCTCCTCATGCAGGATCATGACAGCAAGATGGATTCAATTCAAAAAGAAGGAAAGTCACAACCATTCAATGCTACGCGCCAACAAATAATGCAGATCAAGAGAAGAACGAGGAATTCTATAGACAACTGCAATCAGTACTAGACAAGACTCCAGTTGGTGACATCGAAATTCTAATGGGTGGGTGACATGAATGCCAAACTCGGAGCGGATAACAGAATGAGAACTCATCATGGGTCGAGAAGCACTCAGTGAAATGAATGAGAACGGAGAACTGTTTGCAGATTTCTGCTCATGCATCGATTTGGTGATTGGAGGCAGTGTGTACAAACACAAGGATACTCACAAGGCAGCGACATGGATTTGACTTCACCAGATGGACACACTGAAAATAAGATAGACTTCATCTCAATGTGAAGAAAGTGGAGACGCAGCCTACTGGACACAAGATGAAGAAGGGGAGCAGATTTAGGTTCACACCACTCGCTGTCTAGTGCAAGGAAACTACCTTCAAAATCAGGTTTAAAGCCTTCAAAGAAGCTGGTGATAGACCACAGTTGAAGTTCAACATCCAGAATAGACACTGAACTGAAGGATGAAACTACAAAGGACATCTTCACGTCAGTCAGTCATTAGGGAAAAATATGAGACGTTAAGCAACATCTCTGATGGAACCTGCGTGGAAGAACACTGGAACTCTGCGAAAGCGACGTGGAAGGAAAACTGCACAAGTGTGTTAGGAAGGAAGAAGAAGGGAGATTAGACAATGAGTGGATCTCGGTGGACACATGGAAGCTGATACAGCAGAGAGAAGAAAATGGTGAAGCAGAAGATGATCCAGTGCAGTGCACAGATAAAAAACTAAAAGAGGAACTGAACACAAACTATAAAACACTACACTGGACAAGGAAATGAAGAATAGTGTGCGGAAAGACAAAATACACTTCTATGACACACTTGCAAGTGAGGCGGAACAAGCTGTCGGCTGGTAGGAGAGACAGAGACCTGACAACACTATCTGGGAAGAGGTCAATTCAGATGAAGCTGATGAAAGATAGTGAAGGAAAGCTAGTTACGGAAGAAGGGAAACAAAGGAAACAATGGGTTGACCACTTCAAAAAACTCTTGAATAGACCACCACCAACACCACCTGCAACATCACAACTCTGACTGGCAGCGAAACAACCAAAAACCTGTCGCCCAACAGGTATACAGAAGAAAGTGGAGATGGATTGGACATACATTGAGAAGGCCGATTGGGACATCACACGCCAGGCCCTCGGGTGAAATCCAAAGGGGGAACGAGTTGGGCGTCCGAGGGTGATATGGAGGGCAGTCAAGGCGCCAGGTTCAAAAGACTGGAGAGAACAGAGTGCAATGGAGGCGTGTTACTGAAGCCCTATGTTCCAGTAGGAACCCAAGCGGAAAATAAATAGAATCAAATGTCGATAAAGTTTTGTGTGAGAATAAACAATCTGAAGATAACGGTTAGTGCAAATATTCAAGCTTCAGAGGACTTCAAGTAATAAATACATCTGCACCATTGTGACCGATTTTAAGCAGTCACTGAAAGTCCTAAACCAATATCTCCTTTTGTGCCCGGGACCGTAGTCAGGCAGTCTACATCTCATCACACGACTCAGACCAACAAAAAGGGCCGTCACCGACAGGTACTAAGTCTTTGTCTGGCTATTCTGAACCCTCTTCCAACATAATCCAACTTCCCGTAGTATGGAACATAGAGGTTGGTTGTGGCTCATCATGAGCAGTACACGTCCAAGACATCTCAATCGACTGTGGTCCACAGTTTTACGAATCGACTTGCCTATCTTGCTTAGACCCCCTCTCCTGACCTCAACATCGCTCACATAGTGATTCCACTAAATGCGAGCAATGTTGCAAAAACACCTGTGATCAGAAACTTATACCTCCATATCTCCTATTTTTAAGGGCCATGTCTTACAACCGTATAGTATGATGAAACGAACTGAAGCGCAATATACTCGTCTTTTAATAGGTAGTCGGATATTTCACCAGTCAGTGATACAGATGACGCAAGTTGGCAAATGCCAAGTGGTCCTTGTGTAACTGAGCTAAGATTTCGTCAGCAACCACCCCGTTTGGGCTGATGCAACTCCCCAAGTCGGCGAAGTGGTCGACACATTCAACCACTTCACTCCCTAGCATTAATGTGGAAGAGGTTGCAGACCAGTCCTTTAGCATCCATCATCTTATATTTGACAGGTGCGAAATGTATTCCAAACATACACAGATTTCTGTTTAAGGGGTTCAGAAGGACCTACATTTTGTCAGCGTCTTCGCCCAGCAGGACAACATGGTCTGCTTACCTCACGTCAACCAGATGACCTCTAAAGATTAAGCCAATCCCTGTGAAGTCAGACGTACCCAAGGTTATACGCATTAGTACGTCTATAACGAAGTTAAATAGTAACTGTGCAGTGCCATCAGTTCACCTGACGACCCTCCATAAGCCCTTATACGGCTAAGTGAGTTCGAGTAGAGAGCTATGATGAGCATTATATACTTTCTCGGTACTCCCTTAACAATCAGACACTGTCACAACATCTCATGGTCTGTAAAGTCAATTGTCGCCTTCAGGTCAAGGAATGTGGCAATTGTTGACCATTGGCCAGTAGGTAAGCCTGTGTTCCAGAACCTGTTGGAGGGCAAAAATATGATGGATGCAATTTCCTACCTCCATCCATGAAAACTTTAGGTGGGGAAATGTCAAGTCCTGCTGCTTTGCATCGTTTCAGGTTCGAGACAGCTTCCTCAACTCTAAGGAGGGTTGAAGAAGCGACATCTACGTCCCATTCAGGTTCAGGCTGGACGTTGGGCAACTGAAGCGTTGCTGAGGGCCAGTTAAACTGCGCTTCAAAGTGTTCTGCCAAACGTTCTAGCCGTCTGTCCCGGGAGTTTATCAGCATCCAATCCTTTTGGCCGATGGTTTCGTCTTCTTCTTGACTGTATCCCTAATAAGTCTGGATAGTTGCTAAGTGTTACCCAACGCTGATGCTTTCTCCATCTCAATTTCGCCACCCACCACTTCTGACGATCACTGGGAAGACTTGGTCAATTTTCGTTTAAGTTGCTTTCGGTCTTAAGTGTAGTCGAAACCAGCTGGAACTAGTCTTCTTGCAGCAATCAGTTAGAATAACGCTGCCTAAATCCACTGACGTTTACTAACCTTTGGTTGTAGGTTACCAACTGTCCTTACAGCCGTTTTTACAGCAGACTTAGTATTACGTCAGGTTTCCCCTGGATGGGGATTCCTGTCACGTCCAGATAAATGCCTAGCTAATTCCTCTTTAAGTGTGTGCTTGGCGTTCTCATCTTCTAATGGAGCTCATATAGGTCTTCTTGTTTCTTGCGGCCGGTAACGCACACGAGCAAGTACAAGTACAAGTGAGTGATCGGAGTTCAAACTGTTATTGCAGGAAGAGCCAATCCCCCACCTGTCCAACGATAGTTTATAGCAACATGAAATGTCTATCATTGGTTTGAATTCGGCGGATACCATGTGATACAGTATCTCTCCTTATGCCTAAAGTTAGTGCTGGCCAAACACAAGTGATTGTTAGAACAAAGTTGCAGACGATCACCGTTGTCAGTTAGTTGGCATGGGATTCCATAAGTACCACCAAGATGCCCTTCCGATTGGCTCAGCCTCCCTACTTGAGCGTTAAACTCACCTGCCATTATGACTACATTTGAACGTTTTGCTTTCTGTAGCAAAATTGGCAGTTTGGACAGATGAAAAATGCATGCCAACCATGCTCAGATTTCTTTTTAAGGCATTCAAAAGATCCTGAATTTTGTCAGCATCCTCATCTAGCAGTAAAATATCGTCTATGTACTCCACGTCAACCAGATGCCCTCCAGAAAGTAAACCGATCATTGCGAATTCGGTGTACCTAAAGTTGTGTATTAATATACAGCTAGCTCGAAACCAAACAGGAACGATGACAAGAGGGGATCACTGGCAGATACCACTAGTTCAGATGACAACTCTCCGTTAGCCCTTCTACGGCTGCTTGGGTTCGTGTAAAGAGCTTCCATTAGGAACTGCATTCAATCGCGGTACATTCTTCACAGTCAGACTGCCACAACACCTCAGTCTTCGGGCCAAGAAACATGACGACTGTCGGCCACTGATAAGTATGGCAACGTTCGAGAACCTATCAAAGAGTAAAAATCTGGTCGATGCACCCTCTTTCAGGTCTAAGACCCCCTTGGCTTACTCAAGTTTGCTGTTCTTGAGTTCTAGTTAGGTACCGGATACCTATAAACCCTAGGATTTTGGACACAGTATGAATCAAGCTGGTTCTCTTATGTTTATGACAATAAGACTTCTTTCCTTTTATGAACTGGGATGATCAGTGAAGTACACCAGTCTGATGGCGCTACTTCTGGTTCCCCTACATTACTTAGTACCTCCATTACTTTAGTTAGCAATTTCCTACCTATGTTCTTAAAAAATTCAGGTGGAAAACTATCATATCCTGCTGCTTTGCATCGTTTCAGGTTTGAAACATCCTTTTTAGCTTCGAGAATTGGGGAACGGACGTCTACTTTCCACTCAGGTTCGTCTTGGTTGCTGGAAAACTAAGGCGTTGTTGTCTACCAGTTGAACCGTGTTTCAAGGTGTTTTGTGCAACATGTTAGCCGAGTATCCTGAGTCTTCTTGGATCGATCAGTTCGAAAGACGTTGGAGTAGCCTATCGACGTTTGCTAACCTTTGAATGTAGGTTACCAACCGCTTTTACCGTTATTTCTACAGCAGACTGAATATCACGCCAGGGTTTATTGGGATAAGGATCGCTGTCACGTTCAGATAAATGCTTAGCTATCTTCTCTAAATACACGCTTACTGATGCTATATTCTGGTCGAGCAGACAGGTTTCACTGCTGCCTGTTTCCTGCGACCAGTATGTACATGTGCATATACACATGCTCGCGCTAACACGTGACCGGAGTTTTAGCAGGCACCTTGAAAAGAGCGGCAATCCTTCACTGATCCTCTCCAACAATGGTTAATAGCAGCATGATCTATTTCTGTCCATTGTTGGCGGACACCACGTGTCTCATCTAATGCTGGAGAAAATAAGTGATTGTCCGAATGAAATCGCATGAGACGATCATCGTTGCAGGTCCGTTGGCATGGAATACCATCGATACCTACCTGTTATCTTTCTGGTTGGCTCAACTTCCCTACTTCAGCACTGAAGACGCCTGCTGTTAAGACTAACAAATATTTTGTGTGTTTTCTATAGCAAAATTGACAGCTTATGACAGAACTCATTTTTTGCATCATCCGAAATTCAGTCAGTTGGCGGGGATTACGAAGAGATGTTGGTTGGTCTCACGACCCTTCCTAGTTCTTACAGATCCATTCAGTCAAGTAGCGCATTGGTGTAGATTGATTAGTATCAAGTCGATTTAATATTTATATTTAATATTGGTTTCATAAATTGAAGTTATCGTTGGTTGGGTTTTGTATACTGCCGGAAGTGTGCAGACGATTGCGGTTGGATAGGTGCGTGACCTTAGAGCCCAAGGAACATCTGCTTGAAGCTGGGCACACATGGCCTTTTTAGAAGTGTAAGATTTGTTTGTTAGTTTCGACTCCAACTATGAACCCAGACCACCAGGATTGGTATGTCTTAGGGGTAAAGAGGAGTGTGTTATTTTTAGGTCCGACCTTTTCTAACAACCTCCTTCCACATTAGAGGCAGCATCAGCGTGGCACTGCTGGTCATCTACTGTTAACACCATACTGCTAACATACTCCCCTTTTTCTAGCACGAAGATTTCGCCATCGGACCCCCATCATTGCATAGTAACTTACACTGTAACGGTAACTGCTTTTTGTCTTACCACTGTCCAACTGACCTTTATGGTAGGGCAGGACATCGAGCGAACAGGTGTTTTATCAGCATAGCTCGTTGGGTCATTGTGATATGCAAGCCCGACCGCCACGTCAAGGTTGCTGCTATTGGTCGGGATTTTATTTATTATACAATGTTTTTCATCACTGCAATACCAGAACCTTTACGTGTCGTGATCTTTACTGCGCCATAATCATTTCCCAACCAAAGAAGAATACTGTAATGTGCTTCGCTCATCAGTTCAGACTACAGAGACAGTGCGGTGCACAGTCTATTAACAATATCGAGCAACTTCAAATAAAACGTATTTCTCAGGATCTTACTGTTTGTGCTACACAATGTCAGGTTGGGTTTTTAGTTTTCTGTGTAGATCTAAAGAGGATGGAGAACGCCGCTTGGTAGTTACATCTTCGGTCGAACATATTTGTCTCCAATTTAAGTAAACATTTCATAAGTGCTGTTTAAACACTAGTGTTTTCACGTTTTCGAGATTGCCATCAATTAATAATATTTGACAGGGAAGAGAGATTTACATGTATAATAACTGTTGAAAACTCACATTCTTGGTTTTGTGAGTGATGATACATAACTTTTCGGCTTCGATTATCTTGAATATCGGTTTCTGGTAGTCAGCAGCAAAGACTAGCAATATAAATCAAACACAGCCTCGTTATTCCAGCGAGGTTAGCTAAATACTGCAGTACTTCACCACGTTTTCTGTGAACACATTTATTTTGTATTCCAACACGCAAATAGTAAATACATTTTTCTGATGCAACGAATTTAAGACCTTACACTTATATTACAGATTTTATGATACTGGCTTTGAAAATGCAACTCACAAAGTTGATCTTAACTTCCGTACTTTCTTCTGTCAAACCGCAACAAAAAAGAATGTTTAACATATCGCTGGGACCTTTAGGATTTCGACAGAAAATCGGATTCAAAACAAGATATCATTGGATGCTAGACTTAAAAAAGAGCAGAGCTCGTGCAAAATACCCTTGGATTCCCAAGTATTTCCTGACTACTTTAATTCTAAATTCCTTTTTAAAGAGAACCCATTACAAACATGGAGATATACGGGCAGAAAATTGAATTTCCCGAAATGCATTTGGATTTCGTTGTACCCAACAACCTTGACAAATGTGATTTAAAACCATACGTGTCATGGCGATCGAAAGTAGTTGGAGAAGGACCACTGACAGCTGAATCTTTATTTAACCAAAGATATTTACAAAAGATAACTGAGATGTTTAAAAGCGGTGCAAGTAAGGAAGAAATTATGGATTATTTAAAAAAATCAAACTGTTAGCATGTATAATAACCATCAAAAGGAAGAAAAAGCGCTGTAAAAAATATCACTTTGTTGGTTTGAGTTGTATCACATTTTGTAATTTCGCTGATTTATAATCGATTCGGAGTTGAATAAAGTTCATTAATAGATCTCTTGGTATTCCTGACTGCAAATAATCCTGGACAACTTGTTGTACGTTTTCCGGCTTAATCAGCATAAGATTCATCAGCTTCAGCAATACATCAAAAACTAAATCAACAGTTGCACTTTCGAAACGCTTTGCAACTTCTCGATAGGCTGTAACATCTTGCATTGCAACAAATCCGCCTAAAATCGAAAGCAATAGCAATTAAGTTTAGGATCTCGATCAAGAAAATTGTAGTAAGTGCGGATATTGAACATTCCCACTTAAACAATACTATGTGCAGAGACAAGTGAGTAGTCAGTTTATACTTAGTGAAGAATTTACATGATATAAGTTTTAAACGCTATGCAAACTGGACAACGCAATACTCATCCTATATGTATCCTTCGTGTTGTGTTTTGTGAATGTCGTTAATTTTTGAATTCATTGGAGGCTAGTGGGTAAAAAGTTTTTTATTTATTATCAGATCTTGATAAACTTATTCAAAATGCCTACGTCGTCGTATAGAATAAGCATTGAATGACTTAAAAATCTTGTTTTCGATGACCGCATAGGACAAGGCAAAACACAGCAGTTAACACGTTGTTGGTCGTAAGTGTAAGAGTTCGAAAATTATGGAAGAAAATATGCGACATTTCTGGAATTCATGTAAGTGCATACTAAATCGGAGTTCATCCAAAGCGAAAATTTCAAAAATTAACGATACGAATCACATTCCCGAAAGTGATATGAATATTTTAAATAGAAATTGCTGGGATTTTTTCTTCACTGAAGATCATCTGTACATTCTGAAAAAAGTTTATTTCGGTCATAATAACTGAATCTCTCGGAATAACCACTAATTAGATGTCTCAAGAGGCCGAACCATTGTCTGATAACTACCTTATTTTGGTCTGAGCACTCTTAGTTGTCGAGATGTTTGTAAATACAAATGACCTGCAGCATATACCACACATCTATCATTTTGGTATTCTTACTGATAATGTGATAACGTAAATCAGTCAGCTCCAAGGTGGAACTTAGAGTGGTTCAAGTTAATATATGATAATATTAGAACAAGTTAGAAAGTACCAAGATTGAAAAATAAAGAAGCAATTGGTCAGAAGTCATGCAAATAGGATAACAAAATATAATGATTAAAATGGTTGTGTGGATACATCTACACCACCGAGGTTGATTTTGAGCCATGTCACCTACAGTCTCCAATCATCGATTTCAGTTATCATCCGGACATCAACCGGGAGCTTTGCATTTCCATAAACACCCCAGACCAACATTCAGGGATTACACGGGGTGTTATCATGTTTGCGAAGAGGCAGGTTTTGACTAGGCATATGTATTACATGACACAGACATTCAAATTGACAGGTTACGACCTCATCAGCTGACTTTTATCACCTACCTAAATCTCTACTCTGAACCTCTGTATTACTTCGGCAGGAGTTTCACGATACATAGCCTGTGCTACGAGAGCAATGGTGGTCTAACATTTAACGCCTTCTCATGTGCCCTGTCTTGACTTATCATGTTTCACAGTCGTATGGCAGCATGGAGCGAACTGCGGCACAACCCACGCAGTCCGGATAACACGGTGGTGTGTTAATGGTGTAAGTTGGTGGAGGCCAAGCGAACCTTTTGTATCCGTACAGAGACTTTGTCGGTCACTGACATATAAAGGCTGACCAGACCCCCTCACTAAGTGATCAATACACTCAACCAATCCAGACGGACGGACGAAATTAACGTAAAACCTCACACACAACTGAGTCGGTCATAGTTAACATATGCGGAAAAAAAAGAGTGATATCAAAGTGGACGAAAGTCTATGAACAGAGGATTTTGAAAACCAGGGTTGGTGAAAATGTTCAGACTTCGGAGGAGGTCAAAGAGTGAATATATCTGGACCATTGTGACCCATTTTCAACTGTGTCACCCAAACTCTCCAACCACTGTTTCCTATTATATATGGAGGATCCAAATCTAACTAGCTACTTACCTTCAGAACAATAGTCGACCTCATCTGAATGTTTAGCTCTATGTATTAAGTTGAAAGCTTAATCGCATTCATTCCTTGTATCATCCAAACAGCGAAGGATTACGAGAGTAGGAGTCGGTGAGTGCCATAATATTTCTCCGTTCTTACAGATCCAACCAGCTTGATAGCACAAAACTGGCTGTTGGCTGCTATCCCGTCGAGAAGTGCACTTTCTGCTCTATAACTTGATAACATAAATACACTGCTTCACTCCCTAGTATTAGACGGGTTACAAAGTTGAAAAGCTCTGGAGCAGCAATTTGTATTCGGGTAGAGAGAAGCTTGTCTCAAACATTCTCAATTTTCCACCTTGTGAGTCTAGAAAACTGCATGTTATTAGTATCTCCATTTAACGAGGCTACGTCACATTTTTTGTGACTGGTTTGATTTATGTAAAGGCAGACGCGGTGACGAAGACGTGGGTATGCGAGTTTATGACAGAATCAAATAAGGACTGAGTTAGTAGACATCCATGTGCACAACTCACCTGATACCCTCACCAAAGGCTCTAACCTCACTGGCTAGTGCATGAAATTTCGTGAAGTTGTTATATTACTATTTTAATTGGCAGTGAGCATTAACGTTCTGTTTCAATCATCGTTAGATCAAATGAATAATACACAACTGTTCAACGATTTATCACACTTCTGGTTCGTTATTATCCAAAAAATTAGACGATACATATGAAGTTTTCTAATGCACTCACTGGTGACTGCGTCTACATAAAACGTAATGCAACACTCGGTTTATACAGTAAACATTTAATCTAATGAGATAATGTTTCAACTAGGGACCTTATTTGTGACAGGTAACGGCAAATACATGAACACCTTAAGAAGTTAACGAATTTCACATAGAAAAGCAACTCTAAGCTTTGCTAATAATTACATTGGTATAGCTAAATTGTTATAATTATGAAAACATATTCACCTGTGTCTGAGAAGGTGAAGTTGTAAAAGTGGTCTACTAACGTGCGATTCAGTTTCATTCCAAACTCATGTAAAAATGTCTTCAAATTTTGACCATCAAGGTGTTGGTGAGCTTCACGGTTGAGTTGAGATAAAAAGGCAACTACATGTTGGCATGCCTGACAAAGGATTAAAATCAATTTTTCAATAAACGAGTTCTTACTGCAATACATTGAACAATGTTAATTCTAAAAGTAACCTAGCTTTTAAAAGGTTATTTCATCTGCTTGCACTTTACAGAAACAAGAATATATCCCATGTATTGTCACCAGCAGTAATATCAAGACACAGGAAACTTGACGGTTTATAATATAATATATATTCAAATGTTAAAGCTAAAATGTCACATTTGTTGTTATTTTACACTTCTCAAAAGGGAACTGAAAATAATAATAGTTCTATCACACATAAAGATATAATGCAAAGTAGTTCATTTTTAGAGAATACAACCAATGATGTTAATATGTTGTTACTTGTGTTATTCCGTCGTTGATTAGGTCGAATTGATCGGTCTTTAGTGGCATATGGGTTTCTGGTTGGATACCTTGATATTGCCTATCTTTCAATCTTATAATATTAATATTGGATAGTGGCTAGCAGTGGGATCCGGGACAACATAAAAACTATACCCCTCGCATAAGAAGTGACTATCTTGACTCAGTGGACAATGTCCTGGCATTTGAAGCGATCGATCCCGGGTTCGAGTCCTAGTGGGGACAACATCGCTCACTGGGAGCAACGTACATTCAACTGACAAGTCACAGATAGGATGGAACGCGCGTCCTGAATCCCACTGCTAGTCACTATCCATCGTTAATAGTGTTAGTACTTTATGATCTCCGCCTCATTTAAAAAATCCATACCAACTTCGCTTGTAAATCTGTATGGGGAGTGATGTAGTGATGCTTCGATACATTTATTAAGGTCAAAACAATGATATTTACATCTTCTTATGGAACGAGAGCTTTAGGAGATTCATATTTTGTAGCAGTAGAGCAGATGTGCAGTTCAGAATTGAAATGGAAATCTTTTTGTTTTTCTAGTTTTGAATACTTAACCAGCAGAATTTCACAATCACATACAGATTTGTGTACCAGATTTTTTAGTTATATCCATTGTATGTGGGTTAGTGGGACTAAATGTTTGTCCAAAAGCCAGTAGATGCAGCATGAACTGAACTTGATGCTCTACTTGTTGCTTGCCAAATACATCAACTTAATTAGGACTCTATTTGAACAATCATGGTTATATCAGAGCTAATAACTAGCAGGCTATATCCAGATGTCTGTTAGGTATAGTCATGCTATTTATATTTAACTTCATAACTGATGCGTTTATGGAGGTCTTTCTTCATTGTCTTCACAGAAATTAATCTCGCCAGATATCTTCTAATCAAATAAGAATTCATACAAGCAGTTATATTATTTGATGACAGCGAAAAAGTGTCATGTTTTAAACACTAAGTGATTTAACATGCAGTAGTGTTGCATTTGACAATAACGAGTCAACGGTCGAATGGACTGAACAATTCACTTTTCCAGGACGTCACATTAATGCTGATGCGATTTCCTTCAACGAGTCCTCAGTATGGAATAAGAAAGACTATTGCAACGTTGGTATGATTACTGAGAGCTGAGTAGTTCTCTATGCCATATACCATCAAGAATTTGTGAATGTGGTGTGTAACTGAGCACATCTACTTCGGTCTGGGTAATCGGGTTAAGTTGTACTAACCTCTTTTGTAGCAACAATAATTTGGCGAATGTACCGTTTGACCGATATAGAAGTTGAGTGTAGATTATAAGGGAGTGAAAGCACCTCAGCTTTGCTTATCTGATATACACGCAATGATATATATACCTTAGTGAATGAGGCGAAGATAGTTCAGTGATGAAAGATAGTAAGAGAAATGAAACACTATGGAAGTTGGAAGGAAATAAATTATTCAGACTAAAATCAAAGTTATTTTGTGTTTATATAGCCAGACTGTCTTTTCGCTATATATGACAAAACGAAAATGAAATGAAAAAGATTGTGAGTGTGATAAGCTAATAATGTACATACAAGGTTAAAAATTTAAGGTGGATTAAAAACGAATAGGTTTTGATCATTATAGTACAATTGTGAAGATAAAACAAGAATTGATTTTAAAATGGGGATTGGTAGCCCTTACACAAAACAAATCAATGGTTACCATGAGAATTGGAGGCTAACAACTACCTCCTTTTGGAAGCACAAATTCGATTTAATTTTTCTGATAGCAATTACTTCTGAAAATCTTAATAAATTAGGATTGTTTATTTTCTTGGTTATTTCAAATACTTCCTATTTTTGTAGTTCATCCTTTCCGATACCCCTACAAATTTAAAAATCTCGGATATTTAGCGTAACGAATTTAAAAATCCTTATTACCTTTTATTATAAAACTGGTTTCTTATTACACTAAACAGAGCCAGATATTGGTTCTCTACGAAAAATAAAAACGGCAAAGAAATTTTTTTACTATTCTGTAAATATGTCGCCTACTCTACACAACTTTATTGAAGCATCTTTGCAAATATCCTATGTACCAATATTACATTAATGTTGAGAATAATTTTGTTTAAATACAAATTAGATATCGAAAAACAATTAATTACATCTTTTCAAATGTCGAGCCATGTGCTTTTGTTTTGCCTGTTGTTGTCGTGTATTCCATTGGCGCCTATTGGTTAGGATAAGATTTATAACATTCTGGTCAAACAGCGGTTATATCTGGCTACACTTTCCATATTTATGTTGGAATTTATTTGAAACTATTACTGTTGCGCATATTTGGTTACCAAAAAGTGTTTAATACTACTATCGTAAAACTTACAATTGACGGTGGATTGCCAACAATTAACCCTGAGTTAGCATTTGTATCTGGACGAAAATCGGTCTTTTTTTGTTCACTGGATAATAAATGCTGAACACGTGCGATAGCCAAATTTAGACATTTTTCTAAACCCGTGCAGAATTTACCTTCCAAATCTTGTTTCAGGTCTTCGCGTTTAGTTGAGATTTCATTTGCATATGTCGGATTTGCTCTGGAATTCGATAATATTGAATACTTTAAAATAACTGAATATATATAGTAGTAGATAGTGAAATTGCTTTTTTTAAAGATAATATTAAAATCTGTAAAATGTAAGGTATGCACTGAATAAGTTTATCAAATGCATCATAACTATTAGTTTTAGGAGATGAAGTTGTTAAGAAATCTACTCTTTCTCAGTATCACAATACAATTTCTACTTGTTGTTATGAGAGTGATAACCAGGTTGAGAATATACTTGATACAAATTTTTCGCTTGAGATCAATCTTTTCAGAGTAGATGAAAATTTAACCCTACACACCTTGGTGTGAATAGACCAACTGCTTGCTAGCCCTCGCACTACCACTGATTCATGATTTGATACTTAAAGATCAGAAAATAGTCTTGTTCTTTGGATCACAGTTGATCAGTTTATCAAGTCGTAAGCTAAGGTATAGAGTTCAGCAGCCCAATCTTATGTGCAGATATTATCGGCATTAATTTCAACCAAACGGAGGTTACAACAAATATGCGTTAACAACACCAACAATATAAAGTCTACACTAATTTTTACTAATTATCGAAATAGTCACTGGACTGAGCATATTACATTACTGTGATTTCGAAAGTATCAAGTGATCATTATTATTATGACCGAGACAATCGTTTGACTACATATAACACAAATGTATTAAGTTTTTATTTTCTATATCGTGGTGTTCTACATATTGAAATGATGAATATGTGGTTATGAGTTCAAAACCGTCAATAACCGCTTCGGATAAATGAGACAGATAATGTTATTACCTTCACACACTCAATGTTACTAGAAACATGTCCGAGGAGGTAAGAAAGGGAATCCTCTCAGCAGCCTTGTTCACTTAAATGCAACAGACAGACAGCAACACCTATTGTGTGAGGGCTAATGACACTATCTGACTGCTCAAATCTAAAGAGGTGGAGTGGGATTCAAACCTGCGACCCATCGGTTGGAAACAAATCAATGAGCCACTGCTTCACCATACACGAAAAAGTGTAAGGAATAATAGCTGTGTATGTTTTTCGCATAGTAAGTAAAATTTTCAACTAGATTCACAGACCTAGTTTTTATCTTCTTCTGTCTTAGGGACTACTCTCTGTAGTGAGTAATTAATAAGTTTAGTTGGATGCTTGTCTCAGTCATTTACAAAAATGCAACCTGATTTGAACCGTGGATGATGCATGTCTCTGATGTCTGGTAATGTCATTTATTTTCTTACAGTAATTGCCTCAGGTTCCATTTCGTACGACTGAGTTATTCGTCCGATGGTAACAAGCTGATCGAAGCCTATTTATTAATTCTTTAAAGTGGTCATCAAGCCAGGTAATGTAATACGTAAAATATTAGTCGGTAGGATACCCTCAAGTTTCTTGATGCTCATCAGCAATATGTATCTGTAATCTTGAGGAAGTCGCTGTTCTCTACAAGATTTAAAATTCATTTTTGAATAGTTACGACTTAAAATTGTTTGACTGATGTTAAGTATGATCAAATGTGATTTTTTTCAAAGTAATTGGAAATACATCATATTAAATCTCTCCAAATTACCGAATCAAAATTGAACATTTCACAAAACATTCATGTTGTAAATGAAAACTATGAACATAAGAGAGAAGTATTTGTTAAAGAAGTATTAAGAACGAAACAAAACACAGGGTGAATTCAGTCAACCGAAGGATTTGATATATAGTATAGAAGGTGGCAACTAATTTTCCGGATGATCATAAATTGTATATTTTCAAATATTCTACTATGAGAAACGTCAGACTTATTTCAAACACGCTGTGACTTGGATAAATACACACCATGTCTAATATTCTACTAGTGTTAGTTTAAATAAGTATTTGATATTTCAGTCTCAGTTTCTGAGGTAGCGATTGATAAGTTTGCAGACACATACAATCCAAGAATCCATTTATCGAGACAGTTAGAAAACATCGCACATAAGCGCATCGGTTCAAGCTGCTACAATTCGCAGTAGTATACAAAGAACAAGTAGACAGAAAAGATTCATATCGAATTAGATAAAGCTGCACGAGATGAGAAGGAATTTAAAGATCAAGGTTAGTCGAAACATTCAAGATTCAGAGGACATCAAAGAGCGAATACGTCTAGGCTGCTGTAACCGATTTTCAGCCGTCACCAAGAGTCCTCAACCACTGATTCCCATAGTCTCACAGACCCCAACCAGACAATCTACATCTCTACACTGCTCAGATCAACAGTCAGGAACTTCAAGGACCGGTGCCACGTCTTGGTCTGGCCATCCTGATCTCTCTGTCGAGACAGAAAGCCTAAATGCGTCTTCTAAGTGTTAGCTACAGACGTTTGACAATACTCATTGACTGCTCCAATCAGCAAAAAATAATAAACATGTTATCAAGAGCATACCAATGGAAAAAACGAGAAACTATCTAAAAAACTGAAATTGGACAGAAATCTTATAATTACTAGACCTAGTAAATATAGGGTCACGTACCATACCCATAAAATGAACTGGTCAGACTGAGTTTCAGAGACTACGGGGTTGTGAAAAATTGATTGAGACTACCAAGCACTAAATGAATGAAAAAACTTCATTAGAGCATCAACGTTTGAAGTAACTAAATTTTCTGAGAAGTCATTGTGACTTTATAACTTACTCAAGTTTCCCAAGCCATAGTTAACTCTACAGTTGGTTTTTAACACTTCAAACTCAGCATATATTTCTTAGAAACTGAGTATTTGTTACAACCACTGGAGCATTTACAGAGAGAATTTGTCGAATTCATTATAGATGGATCCAAATTTGTCGACAATGTTAGGAATATGGATACAACAGGTAAAACTCCGATGTCTCTTGGCATCATATCACTGTCCACCTAATAAAGATCATAGTTTGTACAAATCAATGCTGAATGGCACTTTGCAATAGTAGTAAGCAGATCTTGCTGTATAAGAATGAAACTACACTGATGACGATGTCTGGCGAACATTAAATTGGATTCGTATTACATCAAGAACATGCACTGAACCGACCTTGGCTGCACCAATTCGAAAACATGTCAGTTAGACCTCATTTTGAAGATACTGACAGATTTTTTTCGTTGAAGTGCTAACTATGAATTAATGCAATGTAGAATTTGTTCAATGAATTGTTTAAACTGTTGACTGTGAAGTAAAACTGATTCAAGATTAGTGAAGTGAATAAGCTTATGGCATTTAAAAATAGTAATATTGCCGGCCTGCTTAAACTTTGGCTACGAAATACATTCAATCAAATTGGCCTTTTTTTTACTTGCTTTAACCATTCAAATGTTAACAAGTCATAAAACAATCTCGTGCACCCTTAAAATGTCTTCAACCTATCGTTAGTCGGGTTAACAACAAGACTGTAAGAAAATATCACAGTGTAGACAGCAGTTGGCCTCTGAATGCACAAGAGTGCGTCATATAGGAACATACAGGAACACGAACACGTAACTAGAACAGTAAATTTTTATACTGGATGAATGAATCTCCACCACCAAACTTTTCCATCCAACTCATATGAAACATACAAACTAGATGATGACCTAAAAACTACTGGTTGTTGTGCAGTACTGCTTATCATACTGCTATTGTTAACATTATTTAACTGCCATGGTTTTTTAATTTGAAAACAGAGTATAAGAAGTAAATTTGTTGAAATACCTAACTGAGAGTTCCAAACTGTACTAAAAGTTATTGTCTAGAAATAAAGTAATTGTTATTATTATTAAATCAAATGAAAATTGTATTTTTAGAAATGACACTTACATAACCAATGGTAAAATTGACTCATCCACTGTTTTCTCAAAAAAATGCAAGATAGACGTGGCTTCATGAATAATTGAAAAGAAAACCAAATTTGGATTGCTTTGTCGAGGATCAGCTATTTGCAAACCTATTAATTATACAGTGATATTAAAATGTTATACACACAAAAGAGTGAAGTATACAATATTTCCAGCATTCTTTTTAAATGTATTTAATACAAAACAGTGCTGATGTATAAACGATTTTTAATGACTACATTAAAGGACTTGTTCTGATTATAAGTTATGCTGAATTTAACTATTGTTTGTACTATCATTCAGGTTTCAATAAAGAAAAATTCCCTAACATTAAGTTATTCTTTACTCAAAGTGCATGGTATTGTTTTCACATAAGAGTATATATATATATTATACCGAGAAATATTATGATAAATGATTATTTTCATGTTCTAAAAATGGAGGAGCCAATTTCTCTTCAAAAACACATACAAGTTTTTTTCTATAAACAATAACCGTATTTGTTTTATTTTACTTACAGACATGCATATCAGAATCAGGATCCTGTCAGATATGATTAGAAAAAAAGGAGTACTATTCCGTAGGTTCATCTGTTTAGGACTAGTTACAAAAAGGGAATACACTGAAGATTAAGATCTTTAAGAAGTGGAGATTAAGAGTAAAGATAAGAAATTAGTTTGTTGATGTTTTGTTAACTGCTCATCCCATGCACAGAGGTGTTTTACTGAATCGCTAGAAAATGAAATTGGGAACTACTTTCTATGGAGTTTTCCTCTACAGAGATTATCCTTTAGATAAACATGTGATATTAAAGACAAACTTCAGCACTACTTTTTGACTGTTTAGGCTGTTTAATCAACGTATGTGGATGCTAGGTAGCGAGAGATGAGGCAAAGAAATGGAAATAAGATCAGAAGTCAAACTAAGATATTGTCAGTCAGTCAGTATCAACATGAAAATTGACATTGCTGCGTAAACGTTCAAGTTATTCAACTCTAAATCAGCACAACAAGATGAAAGATACAGATACAGGGAAAAAAATGTAACCAAGTTTTGGACGATATCACCAATAGTCGGCAAATACAAATTTCGCTCGTCTCACAGCCGCCTCCCATCATAAAGCTAACATTCACATAGATGACTTACACCAAATTGTGAACTGATACTATCTTCGTCTGGTCATCCAAAACTTTACAGGAACTGTAATTGCCATATATGCTAGGCTTATTGACTGATTTGTCTTTTGTCATGAGAAAAAAGTGTTTAGTTTTAAGTGGACACGTTAATTTAATCCCAAATTCAATGTTTAACATTCGAATAGTGAAAAAGTATGCGAGATTCTTTTTGTTAGCTTTTCTTTAAAAATGATCACATGGATTTTCGATAGACTGAACAACTTACCATGTAAGGCTAAAGTAACTCCATACTCCACATGTTCAACAATTAAGTACTGATACAAACAGTTGAATATACATTTACCATTATCTGGAATTGCAGTAGGTTGAGAGAGCTACAGAAAAGTGAAAAGATGGAAGTAAAAAGGTCATGAAATTATTATCTGCAAAAAAACTTCATATCTTCTAAGCACATAATCCTAGTTGGATCAAAATGGAGATTTTTTCTTCAAAATACCAGTTTTTATTACATAATCAAGTTGCGTTCTGCGTTTTACTTATGATGAATTTTATGGTCTACATTGTGTTTAGTTATCAATAACCAATCCAGTCAGTCAAAATCAATAACAGAATCAGCAAAATATTCTGGTCTAACCGTACGACGATATTCGACTGTAATCTCTAAACGCGCATCAGGTTATAGAGTATGGGATCGATGACATCACGGTCAGGAATTAAACTAAATAGTTCGTTGATGAACTCTATTAAAGTCTACTTCACAAATGTCTACTCATGAGATTAGAATCGTGAAGGAACCCTAGTTTTCTATTATCACTCAGGCTCACTGCTTCGTGGTAAAAATCTCGCAACTGATAACTACTTTCCTAGGAAGTTTCACGCATTCATTTTATTTCCGATACCTAGTTCTTGAAATCCGTTGCAAAAATGCGACTGCTATTATACACCTTAACATCACAGGGTATCTTACCAAAAGACATCGTTTAGCGGCACGCCGAACATCTTCGATGATATTAACAGTTACTTCTTCAGATAACAAAGATATTTCATAGTCATTTTGTGACCGATCACCCGAAGGTATATGGAATTTCGCTTGAAGATCACGACGAAATTCAGCCAGACTAAAAGCAAAAAGAATAAACAATTGATGATATATTTTTCAGATCATGATAAACCCTTTCTCTTAATTCGAATAACAATCAGTGACTATTAAACTACACTATCTATTGCGAAGCACTGAAGTAAAGTAATAATAATAAATAGTTTTCTGAAACCAACCCAGAGACATTGAGTGGACGTTTTTGGTGTCGTCTGCTTTGATAATAATGTTCAAGATGACCAGTTAGACGTTCTGTTAGCCAGTCCGACTCTCGTTTCATATATCCGGTCAAATATGGAGAAAATAGCTCTCGAAATAATTTGGATAGTTGCATGGGATCCGTAACCAATGTTAGTTTATTAGACAACTCCAGAAGTAGCTTCTCTACGCTGAATTTTGTAAAACAAATCGTTAAAAGCATTATTTATTAAAGAATTCGCAATGGTTCTTTATTTTCGAACATAATGTTTAATACTGGTTAAAAGAAACTTGAGTTCAAACATTTTACTACCTTTTTCTTACACTATCGACTAGGGTACACCATCCAGATGCAAACCAGATATCAATTTCACCACACTCAGAATAATAAGGCGAAAATGAAATTTAGCAGTCAAGTTATATGGAATTCTAGCTTTATGGCTTAGAAACTCAAATCTTAGTTACAGAGTCGGAGTTGGTTTACCTGAAATACACTTTAACTTCTGGTAAAAATTTCTGCCTTGCATCATCAATAACGGTCTTATTGTCGATTTTAAGGATTTGTTGATGAATTTGAAGCAAACAAAGATTCTAGAACTCCTCTACTACACACATCCTAGGAAAAGTGTTATGACCGGTAGTGCGACCTAGCAGTCTATGAGCGATATGAAACTCACGCGCAAGGAATAGATTCTAAACGCTAATTAGAACGTCAGACACCACAAAAACAATACCACTGACATGCGAATACAGGAAGAGAAGACGGGTCGTTGACAGAGAGATTTTATTGTCTCAACAACAGTCAAACAGTTGAGAGTGATGTTGAATATATGCATTTTTAAACGACTTTGACAACACTTAATTGACTCATAGGTTAAAAGAGTTAATAACCAATGAGAGTTTAGCCTTCAGAAGTAGTGGGAAAAACAAAGCTAGCACGGTGCTTTATTTTATGGTTACAGGCAAATATCAGGCAAAATCAGGGGTTTACAGCAAAAAGTAGAAAGTTTTTCGCTCCTAATACTTGGTAGTTCTTGATTAATCTTTAAAAAATTTATTTGAATGCAAAATCCATAACTTATGTGAAATGCTTAATTTAATGTAGCTATACTATACGTATCAAAAAGGGTTTAAATCATGATACTAGAGAGCTTCAGTTGATTGAATTCTGTTTTTTAATAAAATGAATTGATCAACAGAAAAATTTCTAAATATCAGCATACAAATAATAGTGATTGTTTGACCTACTTGCGATATTCGTTGTATAAATTCGTCAAAAATATTTGTGAATTTGATTCTTCTTTCATACGATCGTTAAGGTGGACCTAAGATGATAAAAAAAGTTTCTATTGATATAAAAGCTTCGAAAGTAAAAGTAGCAATAAATGGTGCTAAAAACAGAATTTTGAGGTTATGTAAATAAAATAAAGATCATTTAAAATGTGAGCGTATCAAGAAACATTTTGACAAGTCAACTTGTATGTTGACTAACGCGCATTTGACACATGATAAAATCTTTTCGTCAAGAACTACCAGAAGTTTGATAGATTGTTCGTATTTGCATGAGAGGTGCTAACCAGTGACATGTGAAAAATTCATGAACAGTATTAACCATTCGATTGGTGGTTGATAGGGAATAATTGATTTCAAAGAAGTTTTAATTACGGAATAATACTCAATAGATAACCATTAGAAACCTAGGACAACTTGACATCTGTCAGAGTTTAAAAAAGGATTCCACTTCAGTGGTTTAATGCTGTTGTGCTTACCATGAGATCTGATAGTCTTGTGCTTGATCCATTACACAGTCAAGTAGCCTCAAACTAGGACAAAAGACCTCGCCAGTCCTTTCAAGTTTTCAATGGTTTACTAACGAATGTCTTCCCATAAAGAAGACCACTATGAAAGGAACAAACGTGTTTTGTTCAACAGAACATGTAAGTGACCAAGACATACAATAAAGAAAGTTTGTATGTGAACATCAGCTAAAGAGGTACTTTTCTCACTGCTTCTACTAAATGGGGTGTTGAAGTGAGACGTTGTTTGAACACAGTTTTCTTTTTTGATTTATTCCTTTTAGATTGCAAGACCAGTAGCTTGAAGTGTTTCATACAGCAGGCAGATTTATACCAGAAGTAGGTGAATAACATTTCTACAGAGCCTAAAGTCGAATTTAAGGTTGGAACACTGCTGAAAACCATTACGTTTTATCATTAAAATCTCCTCTTCATAATAATTATATCACTCGATTTATGGATGTCGATCTATTAGAAAAGACTGATATATCTTCATAAAATTCTTCTCCTTCACAAATTTCAACAGCATAAAAATTACGAGTGCAGTAGCATAATCCAAGCACATAGGTACTGCTTCAAGTATTCTTCTTCCCAAATGCTTACAACCTCAATAAATGTCAAAATTTATATATCACATAAATTGAAAATACCTTTATCACTTTGACAAGAAGCTATTAACAGGGTCAACCGTTATTGTAGATAATGAACAATGTAACTGATTTGAGTAGAGATGGTTAGGAATGTGAGAGGAAGATTGACTATTTACAGGATTATTATGTGAATATTTTTGAGGTAGAAGTTTCAAAGTGTAGACGGAGAATGATTGTCGTAGGTGTAGCGTAACTTCAAAATATTTCGAATGCACGAAAGCTTGAAGAGTAAGGTAATTTAATTAGTGTTCAGATGGAAACTCAAGGTTTGAAACAACAAAAAATATGCAAGGTAGAATGACATGAAAGCGTTTGGATTCATTTGGTTATAAACTTACTACCAGAACAATGAGAGTTTTATATTTTTGCGTACATAGGTATGGTTGACTTTTTTAATGGCTACTACCTTGCTAAGTTAATTTTGTCTGACGGGACGGCTTCGAATCATTCTAAGTAACCAGCAAGCAAAAGAACTCAAGTCTGTAACGTTTTGCAGAAGTAGTAACCACTAAAAAAGTCAACCATACCTATGTACGCAAAAATATAAAACTCTCATTGTTCTGGTAGTAAGTTTATAACCAAATGAATCCAAACGCTTTCATGTCATTCTACCTTGCATATTTTTTGTTGTTTCAAACCTTGAGTTTCCATCTGAACACTAATTAAATTACCTTACTCTTCAAGCTTTCGTGCATTCGAAATATTTTGAAGTTACGCTACACCTACGACAATCATTCTCCGTCTACACTTTGAAACTTCTACCTCAAAAATATTCACATAATAATCCTGTAAATAGTCAATCTTCCTCTCACATTCCTAACCATCTCTACTCAAATCAGTTACATTGTTCATTATCTACAATAACGGTTGACCCTGTTAATAGCTTCTTGTCAAAGTGATAAAGGTATTTTCAATTTATGTGATATATAAATTTTGACATTTATTGAGGTTGTAAGCATTTGGGAAGAAGAATACTTGAAGCAGTACGAGTGTGTTTGTATTATCCTGTCATACATATTTTTGCACTGTTCAGATTTAGAGAAAGTTGCATATGGGGAAAATCTTACTGGATAGAACAATACGTTCATTTTAGGGACTTTGCTATGATATGGAATAATATGTTTTTCTCGTTTAGTTAGCTTTTTTATTTCGGAAACTAATGAATTCATGCAATCCCGCTTTCTTTACTTCCAGTGCTCTGAATAGTACAGTCAAAGTTTAAGGCAGTGATGAAGAGTTAGACAAATATATCTGAGGGGCTTACAACTGTAGGTATGAAGAACGATTGTATTCCCAATATATATGAATACATTTTCTATTAGCTTGCATTATGTTCACACAAATCAGCGAACAAAGTCTTAAATCAGAATTTCGCGTTCAGCTGAACTTACTAGTAATGTGTGCGTACACTAGGGCGCAAATGGACTAGGCGATCCAGATATATTATTCACTGCGTTAGTAAAATCGATGAGTGAAAAGAAATTGATTGCAGTTATCGCTGTGCAGGCAGTTCATACTTTCTGGCTACTCGCACTAAACCTGAAGAAACTGAATTAATATTCTACGTCTTGTCAACCTGAAGGGGGGGGTGGCATTACCGCAGAGCCTGAGTAGCATCAATTTTAGGTTGATTATATACGGTCGGTTTGTGGATATTATATTTAGATTTTGTTGGGTCGAGTTTATATTTTATTAGAACTCATCGTCTGCATCCAAACTCCATGTGGTATGAGCAGGGTACTTTTAGTTCGGCAGTTCGGACCGTAACTGATTTTATCCAAGGACTAAATTAATTAGGTTAACTGGTTATTCAAGAGATATTGAATGCCAGGTTTTGATAAATGAGTGCTGGCATGCAATTATTAGCAAATATAGAAAGCGAAAACAGTTTAACGTAACAGAACCAATTGCAGATAGTTTTTTTCAGCAGTAGATTTTTAGTAGAATGACAGAAAATATACGTCAGACAATAATATCACTATTTAAAATCACATAGTATCTTACCATTTTCGGTCGGTCAATTCACATACCTTTAATTTTGTTGTGAAAATACTATGCATCAGCTGCATAAGTACTGAATCTGGGCGTAGAAATATACCCATAATAATTTTTTCACTAGAAACCAAACAATTAGTGATATCTTTGAAATTGATCGTGGTTGGATCAATTGTCTGCCAAAAATAAGAATAATGAGTAACTGAAAAATTAGCTGTCCTTTAATTTAAATAGGAAACTTTATAATATGATACACATTTTACTCACTTTTTCAAGCATTAGGTATGCAAAAACTCATTCCGCAAGTGTCTTTGTGATAAATTAAAAGATAACTTTGAGACAGACTTTTGCATTTTCCTTACGGTTAATTAAATGAAGTAGAAACATGATCACTCACCACATTCAATTAACGCTAGTGAGATTACCAAAACTGGTAACCTAACACTTATTAAGAAATGATGAATAAGTGGCTAGTAGTGGAATCCAGGATGCGCATTTTGTCCTGTTTGGGATTCGTCGGCTGGATGTACCTTCCTCCCACTGAGTGATGTTGTTCCCACCCGGATTCGGACTCAGGTTTAGTGGATAACACTGACGTTTGAAGCGATTGGTCCCGAGTTAGAATCCCAGTGGGAACAACATTACTCACTGGGAGGTAGGTACATCCAGCTGAAGAGTCCCAAATAGGACAAAATGCGCATCCTGGATTCCACTGCTAACTACTACCCATCATTACTATAATTAAAACAGGTAATATCGAGGCATCTGCATAGGAGCGCATATGTAAATAGAGACTGACCAATTAGGTCCAGTCAACGACGGTATAATTACAAGCAATAATACTTATGAAGAAAGTTGAAAAGTAACGTATTTTCGACCACTTTTAAATAAATGAAAATAAGTTTGTTATACAACTTAGTTTCCATTTTTTAACGTAAATCTTTCAGAAAGTGACGTGCATGCAATTTAACTTATTGAAACCGTTTTCCTAGACTAGGTAGTTTTATCCGATTCAATACAGCTAACAAACCTCAATGGTAGTCAGTATTATCATTCCTCTCAAACAAAAGTCCACCCACTCAACTTGCCAAACGTAATAGCAACTGGGCAAACAAAGAGTGATATCAACGTAGACAAAAGTGTGCTGAAGAAGAAGAGAATTTGAAAAATGAACATCAGTGGAAATTTTGAAACTTTGGATGTCAAAGAGCTAATACATCTGTGCCATTATAACCAAAGATGAAATCCTGGTATCTACAGTAACCAAATCAGGTAGTCTATAGCTACATACATAGTCCAGACCACTAATCAGACTTCATTAACTGACGTCACGTCTTGGAGAGACGATCAAGTCAACACTGACGTATACTTAAAATGACTTGAGAATTACACAGGATTTATGGCATTTTCATATGGTATTTTCAACAATTACCATTAAGATTATTCTGAATAATTCCATAAGTAGTGTAACCATTTATCACTAACACTAAATATAGTTATTCAGTAAAAGTACTGAATTCTGAAAGGAAACTCAATGAACAAAGAACCATATATGAATGGATGCATCTTTAAATGGTATTCACTAACCTATTTGAGAATTTTAGTCCCATGACCTGATATTTTTTTGTGTCAAGAGTTTCTCACATCCTTATATCATAATTCGTCTTCTTATTGGGTCTAAGTTATATGGTGCGATTCAGCATTCCAATTCAGATTAATGTGATAGTAGCTTGTGATTCGTTCTCACTACGTTAGATCTCGCGAAACCAAGACGCTATACAGGCCGAAGTAGGTGAGGCGGGTTTTGAATCTGGAAACAACAGTCCAAAAGTTAGGCGTACGAGTCATAGAAACATCTTATACTTTACTGCCAGGAATCACCAGTAATTAGCACTTTGCTCCGGATTGGAATATAAACCATACTTTCCTAATCTGTGCATTTTCTATGTTAAGGTATTGGATTGCTACGTTGATAACGGGAACTGAGGCTCGGTTGATAGTTGCCGTCTTTACATGGTGGTTGGGCTCGCACATCACAATCACCTAAGGAGTTCTACTTGCAGAACCCTTGTTCTCTTGAAATTCATGACGGAGGTTTAAGGGCAAAAACGTATAGCTTGCTGGATGGGAGTGTGATGGAAGTTAAATATTTCCTCCGGGTGACCATCAGTTCATGGAGATATTGATCTGTCAACAGGAGAAGAGTGGGGTTAGAAAAGGCTGGTTCCAAGAAGAAGAAATAACCTTCGACGGTATGGGGAGCTCAGAAGTGTCAACTACCCTCACAAATCTGTCAGTACTCAAGATCCCTCAGATCACGATCATTCTTTCACATATTTGCCTTCAAATCTTTCCTCACACCATTATGTTAATAACTACGTCAACTTTGATTTCTTCCTCTTCTCCAACTCTTGATAACGATTCGAGTTTACAGAAAAGCAGTCCCAGTCTATTTAAACCGTGCTCTAAACCATACATTCGAGTATTCAACGTCCACATTCTCCACCAAATCGAACAAGCTTCGCCAGCCAAAATTCTTACACTTCACGGCGTAGACATGTGCTGTGTTTTCGAGATACACAAACAGAGTCCAATTGTACTGATCGAGTGTATCCCAGTTGACAGTTGTCTGTTCAAACGAATGGTGGATTGCTGACTAAAAGTAGTAAAACTAGTCACTGTCTCTTTGTAATTCCTCCTTATGCATCCCACGAATTGCAATTTAGATGAAGTGAAGATGAGTTTTATCGAAAACTGTGCAGCCTCCTACTGAAAGCCAAACTTTCGGATGTGGTTTTCGTAGCAGGTAATTTCAATGAGTAAGTGGTTAGGCTAAGTCAGATGTACGGACACTCAAGTGGCACTTTTCGCATCTCGGTCGAATAAACGAATAACAGTGATTGCTTGCTACAGCTGTATTTAAGTAAACATATATTTTTGGTGATTACGAAACTCAGACATATAGAGGCATTGGTTGATGTGGCATCCACTCATTTCAAATTACATAGATAGGCCATGTTGTTGGACAGGGTTGATGGAAGACTACTGCTTCTTCTGGAGTATATATTTGGACAGTGATCACCTTACACATTGGTTCAAACAAGCGTACCTTGTTGTCATTGTAATAGTTAGTGATACCATGAAGTACTTTTGCGAGTTAGAACATTAAAGATTAGAAAGCAGATGGTACAAATAACATTGTGCAACTGATTTCAAATAGATAACCTTACAACTTGTCTGATTACTTTGTTAGCACAAAAAACATCGAATTATGCAACAAAATATTTGAAGTACGGATTTCTAAAGTGAAATTTATTGACCATAAACAGCTTGAAAGCTTATCTTATATTTATACATCCCAGTAGCACAAATATTTTTCCACTAACTCCTTCTGTCGTCTTTACTGTCAACTTTAGCATGAACAATAAAGTATTGTCATCCCCTCCGTAAAATATATTTCGCAACCTAATTCGCAACCGTAATTAGGATTGTAGTTAAACAAACAACTCTACATGAAGTAAAATATATAGTGTCGGGTTGAAGTTGGAGTTACAAATTATCTCAATTTAAACATTAAAACCTAGGGTTATAGTTTGAGACTTATTCTTTGAATGCATTTATTGCTTTATTATGTATTGTTAGGTACATAACCCAGGTGTAAGTGTTAAAACCAAGACAGCTGTATCGACGGCGTTTAATCTTCAAGTTACTACTGTCAGAAGCATAGTTTGCAAACAGTCGATATAGGCTATATATCAATTATTATTCAAACAATATGAGAGCTGTGATTTGGCATATCGATGTTACCGATAGTGGGTGATGATTAAGGGGAAAAATCAAAACTTGATTCGCGATAGGATACGAAACAGTAACCTCCAAGTTATCGACTTGGAGCTCTACTAACTGACATATGACATCCAGGTGCTCATCAGTTTCATTTGCATATGGACAAGAAGTACATAATGTTAATTTGGGATTCTTGTTCAAACAAACAAACATGTAAGGGTTCTGGGAGAGTTGTCATTTTGAAATGGTGGAGAATATTTGTAGCTCAAGTGGATGGTCTTGGTTGCATTGTGTTCTCTGAACTAACTTCATACTGAAGTTAGTGCTGAAGATGTCGTCTAGAAAGACGATGAAAGCCCCACGACTAAACAACTCAACTCAGAGAACACGATACAACCAAGACTTGTCATTTGAACTGATGACAGCTAGTGGTGTACATAAGAAATGTTCACTCTCACCATCGCTATAGATGTATTGATGGGTTCAACCTTACATACCTCGAACTTCTTAGGGATTGGTTTTTGATTAACTCAAAGAAGGGAGATGATGTAGCTTTATTAGCCATAAACTCCAACAAAGCGCGAAGTCTCCCAAGTACATTGAGCAGAAATCTGAGGATGTTTGACATAAATTCCCTTACCTACCAAATTAAAAGTGATACTTAAAGAATGATCTCTACCAGCTCCTAACATAAAGATTAGAGCGCTCAGTGACGGCGCTTAAGCTTGGATACGAAAGATCAATTTAGCATTTGTTAAATCACATTATCTGCTGCACTGGTGATAGATCCAACTGATACATCTAGAGAGAGTATGCTAAATAACAATCTGCTCTATCCTATTATACACCAGTTAGGGGTTGACGAGATGAGGCGGACGGTGAATGGGGGTGAATAACTATTCCCAATCAATTGAGTCAACGAAGGTTTACCACCCTGTCAGCTGACTTCCTTTTTCTCCCTAAAACTCTATGCCTGACTTCTACATTACTGGCATGGTGGTGCCATGACACATGACCATCAATGAAGACTAGAGACAGACCGAATACTGGTTAACACATGAAGTAACTTCTCGACTGCATTTAAATGTGTCCTAGTTTTTTTTGCTTCCCAGAATACACGCATTCCACTGAAGTTATGCAGCATTCTGCCACTGGTTCACTTCATAAAACTTAGTTTTGTCAAAATGGTGATGCATTATAACTTTATATGGTAGTTATGTACTCAGGATTGCTCGTTAGTTTATCCATTTATCAACTTATACGTGTTCGAATACTAGTCTATCTACATATGTTAATCGCTTTATGTGTCAATCTATGGATTGTAATAGTAAAAGCAATCTGAAGGAATTTTCATTTTATTCAGGCATTCATTTAATGGTGCTTTCTGTGCACTTGGAAAACTTAAGGTATGGCTTTTATGAAAGGAACAGAAAATAAGCCTACCTTTAGTGTTTCTTCAATCAGAATCTCAGCACAATGGGGATAACTCTTAGAAAGAAGAAGGACATCTGCTATCTTTTTCATTGTTTCAACATTGCGTCTTAAAAAGTTTGCCCGAAATCTCTCCAATAGAGCAGACTCCAAATATTGACTAGCAACTGAAATTTACTTTTACTAAAAAACGAGGAAGATAAAAGCAAACCTATAACCCTTTGTTTCGCATTCAAGAAGCGTTCATCATCCGGTAACTCCAAACACAAAGAGCTCAAATTTTTGAAACGCGTTGCAGCTTCAAGAAGCTATAAATGAGAAAAAAAATGATAAGAAGACATTACATTCTAATAACATGCTAAGATTTATAATTACCTAAACACTTTTGAGCTTTGGAATTGAAATTTGAGAACAAACATAAAAAACTGTTTATAAACTGAGACTAAACAATACCAAAACTTTGGTAAAAAATTTCTCTACTTAAAAGTGATTTCACTACAACTTCGCTCAATCAACACAGAATACACTTTCACTCAAAACATGGTCAAAATCCTAATTACTGCTCCATCTTTGTCTTTACTTCGGTAAATTACGGTATTCAAGGTTATGAACCCTGTATTTACACCCAATAGGTAAAAGCAACTATAAAATTTCGTTTTGCTTTCTAGGTTAGTTGGTTGTTGTCGACTTAAAAAGGCAGGCAAAGACGTTTCAACTCTCAGTTTAATAGTTCCTGGTAGAAGCTTTTAGTTTGTAAAAGGTGACAATACAAAATCCTTTTATATAGAAACAATAGTGGAGACCAGTATAAGTAAACCTGGCCTGGTTAACTAGTTCACTAGTTACTAGCCGGTCCTAAGCCTGGGTAAAGAGGGAAGGTTAGGCATAGGCCTAGCAACCCTACCCCATAAAACCAATCTAACCGCTAATGAAACTTCGAAGCACAAAGTAAATATAAAAATAAACTTGTTCCTCACTGGAATCGGGGAGACAAAATGACGCCGGTTGGTGGAAGTCTTCGAAAAGCCAATTGGCCGATGTGTCTTCTCTCTCTCGATGAAAGCAAAAGTAAACATGGGGACATAAAATGTCCGCACTATGTTTGAGCCCAGCAAGGCTGCGCAGATCGCAAAAGAGATGAAAACGTGTGGCAAAGAAGTGCTAGGAATCTGCGAAAGCAGATGGAATGGAAGTGGACTCTCCAAACTGTCAACTGGAGAGGAGTCAATAATCTACTCCGATATTGTCACCCAGACGAAAACCACGAGCACACTAAGGGAGTGGCTATCATGATGTCCCCAAGAGCATCGAAGGCTCTCATACAGTGGGAACCAATCTCTTCATGCAGGATCATGACAGCAAGGTTCAACTCAAAAGGAATGAAGGTCACAATCATACAATGCTGCTCTACGCACCTGCAAATAACGCCGATTAAGAGAAGGAGGAATTCTATAGACAACTTCAATCAGTACTAGACAAGACTCCAGTTGGAGACATCAAAATTCTAATAGGCGACATGAATGCCAAACTCGGAGCAGACAACACAGGAAGAGAACTAACCATGGGTCGAGAAGCATTCGGTAAGGTGATGAAAGAGAATGGAGAATTGTTTGCAGAATTTTTTGCATTCAACGATTTGATGATTGGAGGTAGTGTGTTCAAGCACAAGGATATCCACAAAGCGACATGGATTTCACCAGACACCAGGACACACCACACTAAAAATCAGATCGACTTTATCTCAATTTGAAGAAAGTGGAGACGCAGCCTACTGAACACAAGGTGAAGAAGAGGAGAAGATGTAGGCTCAGATCAATATCTAGTGCAAGGAACCTACCTTCCAAATCAAGTTGAAAGCCTTTAAGGAAGCTGGTGATAGACCACAGTTCAAGTACAACACTCGGAAACTGAAGCATGAAACTACAAAGGAAATCTTCATGTCAGCCATCAAGACAAAATGAGAGATATCTAGCAGCATCCCTAAAGAAACCTGTGTGGAAGAACACTGGAACTGTTTGAAAGCCATGTGGAAAGAAACCTGCATAACCGTATTAGGAAGGAAGAAAAAAGAAGATAAAGAATGGAGTGGATCTCGACGGACACATGGAAGCTGATAGAGCAGTGAGAGGAGGATGGTGAAGCAGAAGATAAACCAGTGCAAGGATGTAAAACGACAAAAGGAACTGAGTACAATGTATAAAGCACTACACTGGACAAAGAAGTGAAGAAGAGTGCACGCAAAGACAAAAGACACTTCTACGAAACACTGTCAACTGAAGCAGAACAGGCTGCCGGCTGGTAGGAGAGACAGAGACCTAACAACATTGTATCAAATAACCAGGTTACTATCTGGGAAGAGATCAACACAGATGAAGCCAATAAAAGATGATGAAGGAAATTTAATTACCAAAGAAGAGAAACAAAGGAAACGATGGGTTGACCACTTCAAACAACTCTTGAATCGACCACCACCACCACCACCTGCACTTCGTCCAGGAATACCACCTGCAGCCCAGTCACAGAACTACAAGTGAACACAAATCCTCCAACAAAAGGCGAAGTCCTGAGCGCCATAAAGCTACTGAAATGCGGGAAAGCAGCAGGACCAGATGGAATCCCACCAGAAGCACTGAAAACAGATGCAGAGACAACAGTGGACATGTTCACACCACTATTGCAGAAGGTGAGGAAGGAAGGGAAGGTACCTGGTGATTGGAAGAAGGGCTACCTTGTCAAACTAGTGACGAATGGAGACCTCAGTGTTTGCAAGAACTGGCGAGGAATCACTCTCCTGTCCACCCAAAGCAAGCAAAATATTAAGCCGCACCATCCTGGAGAGACTGAAGGATGCACTGGATTCAAAACTACGACCGGAACAGGTTGGCTGGCAGGCTTCAGGAAGTACAAATCATGTGCGGACCAAATTGCAATGCCACACTACACATCATCATAGAACAGAGTATAGAATGGCAGTCAACTCCTCTACCTCAACTTCATCGACTTTGAGTAGGCCTTTGACAACGTCGACCGATAAGTAATTTGGCAACTGCTTCAATACTACGGAATACCGCAAACCTTTATCCGCCTCATTCAACAACTATATGAAGATGCCACATGCCAAGTAATTCACAATGGGAAGCTCAGTGACGCTTTTGCAGTGAAGACAGGAGTGAAACAAGGCTGCCTACTATCACCCATGATTTTCCTGATTGTGGTGGATTGGATCATGCAACAAACCGTGAAGAGCGAGAGGAGGAGGATACGCTAGACCTCGGAAGAGATCCTAGAAGATTTGGATTTCGTCGATGACTTGTGTCTAATGTCACACAAACTCGAAGGTCTACAGGCGAGAACTAACAAGTTGGTAGAAGAGGCAAGGTAGGGCAGCGAAGAAGGGACTTCAAGTGAACGTAGAGAAGATAGAGGTGATGAAGATACCCAACCAACACTACCACCAACAGTAACAACAAGCTGCAATCACTATCAGTGGGAGAAACTTAAAGGAAGTAGCCTCTTTCACCTATCTAGGCAGCACAGTCTCAACTACAGGCGGCACAGACGAGGACGTCAAAGTCAGGATCGGACAAGCAAGACAGGCGTTCATTAGCCTAATACCAGTGTGGAGATCTGCACTCAGCATGTAGAACAAGATACGGATTTTCAACACCAACGTCAAGTCAGTGCTTCTGTATGGTTCAGAGACTTGGCGCGTCACGAAAAGCATTTCCAATAAACTATAGACATTCATCAACAATTGCTTACGCTGGCTCGTTACTGAAGATCAGATGGCCAGAAATAATAAGCAACAAGAAACTCTGGGAACAAACCAACCAACAACCTATCGCTCAACAAATATGCAGAAGGAAGTGGAGATGGATTGGGCATACACTGAGAAGACCAATTGAGGACGTTACGCGCCAGACCAGGCCATCGAGTGGAACCCCAATGGGAAGCGACGAGTTGGTCGTCCGAGGTGAGGGTGACATGGAGGAGATCGTGCGAGGAGGAAATGAGAGCTTCTGGGGTGTCGTGGAGCCAGGTTCAAAAGATTTCAGAGAAGAGAGTGGAATGGAGACGTGCTACTGAAGCCCTATGTTCTATTAGGAACCCAAGGGATAAATAATAATAATAATAATAATAATAATAATAATAATAATTACAATAATGATAAGTAAACGTATCGTTGCATTAGATCCCACATTTCTCGATAAAACTGTAAACGATCCAGTTACTCAAGAAGAGAAGGAATTAGGAACGTAAAGTAGCTGAGCGAACGCATATTAAGTAGACGATCCTTCAAAAATAGCTAAGATAGAGTATTTCAGGTCATGGATAGGTATCCATAGCCACGTGTCGCTATAGACAAAGTCCGTAACTTTCTTGAAAACTTTAAAACACAGATCACTTTTTACTGTTATGTCAACGCCTAGTAGAATAGCATGGTTGTAACAAGCATAGGTCACTTTTCCATCTGAAAAGGATTTGTAAATGAGTCAGAAAGTAAATATGAAATCCCTTTTCAGGCACAGATCCACTGAAACATATTCTGTACAGTGGCTACGTGTACCAGGATTGAAGGAATTCTCATCTGATCAGGGATTCTATTAATGCCATTTGATTAGTTGTCTCATTGTTAGTTTTAGTATATAATACAAGCAATTATAATTTTGAGGTTGAATGTCAAAATTGCCAGGGAGCGGTATAAGTAAATAATCAAACGAAAAATACTTATAGATGCGTTAAATTTGTGTCAGACCCATAACTAAACCTTTTATTCCAACATAACTGAAGCAAGTTGACACAAGAATGAAAACTAACTCTACCTCATTTCATTTTAAAATGAGCTGTAGTAGGAACTTAGACTAGTTCACATGGTTAATTCAAATAGAATTTGAAACGCACTCATCAACCTTATGCAGTAGGCAGTGAGTCACACCTATTTTGTGATGGTTAGTGATACTACCTGGATGCCCAAACCTCGGTAGGTGAAGCGCAGCTTGAACACATGACCAACTGGTCGAAAGTCATCTCCCTAAACCAATGAACCACAGCTCCATATCCCTAGTAATCTCTACTTACTTAGACAAGAGTAGCAAGAAGTGAAAATGGTGACACAAAAAATGCGATTCATTTACTCACTCACTTAAGAAATGTAAATAAACAAGTGTAACTGATCTGACTATCTAAAATAGCCATAGTTTGGGAGACTAGCATTTGTACTGGGTGATGATTGAACATGAGATGAAAATCTGGACCGCGACCGGATTTTCATCTCACCTTCAATCATCACCCAGTACAAGTGTAACTAAGAAAGATTTTCAATAACTGGTGTGATATTTTGGCAATATGCAGAAAGATGCATTAGCACATTAATTTTGCCGGATAATTCACGGGTCTTACATAACAAAGAGGTATCAGAGACTAAAAAAATAAAATTAAATACCACGGCTTATCGCTTGAGTTAACCCTCTTCAAGTTAGCATAAAAATGGAAAACGATAGGAATATTGATGCATTCCTAGCATATTTGCCGATCACCGTGTAAATAAATTTGACTTTCTAACTGTAAGACCTGACGAGAAGTCACTGAAAAAAGTTTTTTATTCATATTTGACTTTTAATACAGTTGAAAACAACATCAGAAGTAGTGTTAAAAATAAAAATACAAAAAGAGAAAGAGAACAAAGAACAGTGAAATGTCCACGATTTAAAAGGAGATATGAAATACCACCTACAATTTTCAAACACCAATCGCTATTACATGAACCTAGGCCAGGGAGTCTACAGACTCCTACACAACTGATGTTATTTAATGGTCTTGAGTTCGAATGTTCCTCCATTTATAGTGGTAGGTGGTATTTTCAATGTTTATAGAAATCATGGAAATATGGAAAGAGCTAGTTCGACTGGATGTGTGCATCATCTGATGTTATGAAAAAATAATTTTATATCAAAAGATAACTTGCCTGAGTTTCATCTGACTGAGCGTTTACAACATTAGTCACAGTTCCCCCACCAAGACCCAAAAATTTATAAAACTCAAGTATCAAATCACGAGCTTCTTCAATTCTTTTTCTAGGCAAATTTTTTCTTTCAAGCTGGTCGCCCAAATGAACCAACTTTCCAGATACGAGATGAACTTCAGTATCTAACTTGGAGAACTGTTGATTGAGAACAGCTAAATCATTTTTTAATCTTTCGATAGCACAGCGGAACGTCCGTTCGTCTTCCCGACATTTTACCTGTGTCAGCAGCAGAAAACATGCAAGTTTCTTAAGTTAGATCTATAGTTATATCATTAGTATATCTAAACTACAACTCATGAAGATCAGAATATAATAAGCTGTTATAACCAGTTTCCTTAATCTAATGATGAACTTTATTACAAAGTCACAGCAAAGACGACTGTTCAGTACATTTGTAAGGCGCCTTTAGTCTAAAAAATGTGACTCAGGAATTATATATTAAAGTTGTTTATTTGATACAGCACAGTCATACAGTACTGTCACTGTGTGCTAATGTCAGTGGAATGTTTCCGAAATCCCTATACTCAATGTTTGTTAAAAACAAAGATTTTTAAGAAGCACCACCGGCAGTGAACTAAGGCAAAAACGTCCTCACTCATACAGTAGACAGAGAATCACATCCCGACAATCTCAATAGAACCTTCATCGATTGAAATGGTTGGGACACGTACTACGTATGCCTAGTCGCCGATTGTCTCGTCACACAATGTTGGCTGAAGTAGGCCCAGGCTGGAAAAAGGCTCGAGGTGGCCAGACTAAAACATGGCACCAATGTATGAAGTCTCTGACTGTTGGTTTGAGCCATATGGGGCGATGCAGACTAGGTGGTTGGGGTCCGCGGGACAACAGGAACCAGTGGTTGGAGACTCTAGGGGATATGGCTCAGAACCAATGTCAGTGGCGCAGACGTATACACACATTATCATCTTAACGACGCTATATCGAATCTCACCATTTTGTCATTCTTCCTTTCTTTCTCCCCGTACTTTATATTTCTTTTGACTGCATTCACTTATCTTCGTCCTTCACCTCACTACGCTACGCAGTAATGCCTGGTCCTATGTTGATATTGATGATGATTTTTTGAAGGCCAACGACACTATATGTATGTAAATTAAGGCTAACGCGGAATGAAACGGTCAACCGAGAGTTGACAGCATGGATCATATGAATGGATTATTATGGCAGCTGAAACATCTTCCATAACCAAAGTCAATTAATGAAGCCAAAGCAAGTAAGATAGAGATTCATATCTACAGTGATACTTAGGGTGATGGGTATACAGCGGCTGTGTACTTACTTCTGCATAACCGAAGAAGTGATAAAAACCGCAAGTCGATATTTGATAAAGCCAGAGTTGTGTCTATGCGCCTAATTAGCGCACCAAGCCCCGATTATTAACCACAGTATCAGCTACGATGGTCTTGGGAATGTTACACTGAAATGACAATAGCTGCATATAATATAACCTATCGAACCGACTGACTGTGCTTCATAGTACCAACGATGCTTCGAGGAGATTTTCGACATTTTGGCCAACAAGAATGGGGCTGTATCGATCCTAAGAGAAACCTAGATGTATTGTCACAAGGATTACCGGCTAATGAAGCAACGAGGTTGAACCAGTGGCTCAACCCTCGAAATGATGCTAAGTGGTCACAATTCCCATAAGTACGAAATCTTCTTTCTAATACATAACACATAGATGTGGATCAGAAAGAAGTTGACCAGTTGTCGAAGTCTAATTTCGTCTTTGGAAGAACCAGTTTAGTAGCTGGATTACAATGCGCAACTGCATGAATTGGAAGCTACAAGCTTTACTCGCCGAACGGGGTCACAGGAGGAAAGTACTCACATTTTAGCAAATTACTGAGAGACTACTAATATTGTTCAGCTAGTACAGAAACAATGCTTCAGTGACAAATGGAAGATACATGCTCATGGAACTTCAGTTGAGGATAACACAGCTATTTAGTTAAAGTATAAAGGGGGGTTAAATAAAGTTGCAGAATCAATGAGTAATTTGAAGACCATCTTCGATGAAGCAATCATAAGAGTTGAAGGACAATTAGAAAGAGGTAATTTACCATTTGAAATGAAACAACCAATAATACAACTTGAGAATCATTTTGCGACTTTATTGATTATTAAACAATATTATGAATTGAATGGCCACATGTGATGGAACTTCGTACCACCAACTAGAATGGGATAATCGGAGCTAACAAAACTAACAGACCAGTCTTGAGTTGTTATGAGTGCCAACGATGGTGTAACACAACCGTATCAATAAATCATGGGACCTCCGCTAGAAGACTGACTATTATGGAACTGCGATCCGTTCACTGTGGCGAGCAGATTATTTTAGCCATACGTTCATCAAACGCAGACGTTCAGTTGAAAAAAGTTACGGTACATATTAAAGTGAAAAAGCCTGGATATCGGTTCATTTCTATGTACGTGCAACAGATTCGTTTCATGCAAACGTTGTCCACAGAGATTATGCATAGAAAATGATAGTAGTCTCAAAGGTGCTAAGAAAGACTTAAACGAACATATGGCTGTTTAGAATATATGAAAAATTAATAAGAGCTTTATATCACGTGGTTATGATAAGATATTTGGCCCTACCACAGCTAACTACAGAGGCGGAGTATGAGAAAGGATCATTCAAAAACATCAAGAAAATTTTATCTATCAATTAGGAGGGACAACCAATGACCGATGACAATTTACATACATCACTTATCAATAATAAAAGAATACTAAGTGATCGAACTATGATAATGGTGCTTGGAGATTCATAGGAGAAACATGTTTTTACATATAAAAAGGTGCTACTATTGGTTAGCAATGAGTCAGTTGATGTTGAAGATGTAAAGCGTCCCACAAAGTATAACAGAAGACGGAGACAAAACCCTAAACTTAGCCAACATATTTTGGAGGCATAAACGGAAACTGTATCTGCCGACGCTCAAATCAACCTCATGGTGGTATGAGTGAGAAGAAAACTTGAATGAGGACGATTTCGTCCTTCCAACCAAACCAGACTGTCCTAGAGGACGTTGGGTGTAAGGGGTTATCCAGAGCTTAAAACAGGGAGTTTATGGATTGATTCGTCCAGTAACAATAAAGGTAGCAGTTGTGCAAACTTGAAGAACCTGCAAGTGATCCAAGTTACACCTAAAATTTCGCTTCAGGTAACTCCGAATCCTCCAACTCGGTGGCACTGATTTAACCACTAATAAGTAACTTATACTTCAATACGTTTTTCTTTATTTACATGCTTGTTTTAGTCTGTATATTTGCTGTTGTTTGATTCATCAGAGTAATGAAGAGACCCAGTGGCCATATTGAAACTATCATTTTTATCTACTGCTGACCGAAACTTATGTGTTTTGTTACTACATAACCTCAGATGTAAGTTTTGCATTTATATTACTTGTTATTCGTTATCAAACATAGAACCACTTATTACTGCGAGAAAACAAGGCGGTCTTCTGACTTCAAGCGACTTGCGTATGCGTAAATCCAAGTGCAGCTAATAGTGAAAGCATATAAACGAAACATCATGCCCAGGTAGACATGCAATTAACGTAGGACATCGCATTACTGTGATTGAAACAGTTTAAGCTGTCACACCTTATATCACTACATCAAGCAAGAATGCACTAAAATGAAATGTCAAAAAATAAAGCAGTCAAAAGTGGTAGGAGGTAGCTAAGAGAGTTAGAAAGAACGAATGCTGAAACTAATTATGACAACTAAGATGAAGGTAATGTGTGGGTACATCTTCACCATTGAGATCCATTCTGAGCTACACCACCAAGAGTCTCTGATCAGCGTTTTATTTTGCCAAGCGGACCCCGACTGGGAAGTCTACATTTCCCTACACGACCTTTATAACCCCGGTCTCGACTCTTTATATTCCTGTAATAACTACTTGATATAACCTAAGTTGTAACAGCAGTCTTAGAAGACACATAAATAAACTAGGCATAAAACATCACGCTAGCTATCAGGTACAACTTCCATTCTGTGAAGCTTTTAATCTTGGAACGCTCTTCCTGCAAAAGTAGTCCAGGCTACTTCGCCTGAATCCGGTAGACGCCAACTTGACACCTACTTACAATATAGGCGACAGACAACTTAAAACTAACTTTACACTCCTATATTAATCGCCGTCCTTTTCTTTGTATATAGGTTAATAACCAAAGGAACTTGTGGTCAACTACTTCTAGACGCGGAAGTCAGTTGAACTAAAGCCTCTTCTATTCCATCACCAACTATTTGAATCTAATGTTGATGATGCTACTAACGTTATCAGCCTTCGATTACCAAAACTGAAGTGTTTCACTCTTCATCACTGATGAGAAGTCCAAGGGGTGCTTATTCCGTTTAAATAACCTTAAATTAATACACCAATTTGAAGTGGTCTAAGTTAACAAAAAGATGAATGGTGATGATTACCCGTTGAGCTTTTTTTGCAAGTCATTCTGACCTTTTCAATAAATTAGTTTTTTCAACAAACTAATTTTTCGAAGCACTACAATTCCTAATCACCATCATATATTTGAATAATGGGGGATCGAGTTATAAACTAGACCCATCATTCTAGGCTTAAATATCACAGCATGAGGAACGTACGTCCTGGATATCAGCTGTGCAGCCAGGCTAGTGTTTAAAAGCTAAGTCAAAAAGTGACAGTTCATTGTTTGAATTACAGTGGATTCAGCATGTTGTATCCTAAGCAAGAACACAACCAAGGGTGGTCACCAGCAGGATGATAACGAAACAGATGATTGCCCAGTTACCTAATGTCGACCTTACGACACGAATTGCTAGCATGTCTCAGATTTATGCAGGTATATTGCTAGACTGCCTCAGACATGCAAGCTGACGAATCTCATTCTAGTACAGGCATACTAGCATTTGGGTAGAGTGACGTGAAAACCTCCCTACAATCCATTTTTCAGTGATTGCTATCACATTAGATTTTAAACTCTTAACCACAGCTCCCAAGAAGCTGTTCCGCCCTAGGGGTTCCAAGCATTTGTGTGATACCCATAAGTCACTTCAGTTTTCATTAAGTTTACAAACATCCATCGCGGTGGGAATGGCTGCTGAAATGCCAATAGTCAAAATCCTGTGTTTTGGATACTTACGATCAGTTCAGGACTGCTCTTTTTACGTCGATTCTATAACGACCGGTCAGATCAGACTCGAAAATCTGTTCTTAGTTTTACATGCACTAGTCAGCACTATATATATATATATATATCTTTCCCATAATTTCGTGCTACCTTTGCCTGGTAAGTATAAGCTTTCGACTTCAGTGTCAACAAAATTAAATGACAGTGGACCGACATTTATGTGACTAAAGTGATCACCTGTCAACGAATAGACACACTGTTGTATAGAGTACCGCATATGTTATTGATCATCGATTCTGCAATCTCGAGATAAGCATAATGACGCCCATTTTAAGTACTTAATTTCCCTTCTAAGCTTTAGTCGATACTATTTAATGGCGTTCTTCACATCGCCTAATGCGAACTTATGAAACTGACATAACCATCTTCATTTTTGAAATGCTTTCGCGAAAAAAAATATGTGTTTTCATCTACGAACAACAGTCGGTTTGGAAAATGAGCTACAAACTTACGGAGGAACTGACGTGCAACTATTTAAGAAAAACTGGTTTCATATTATTACAAAACTGTCGTGGCCTTTTACTACAATTGATACAAGGCATACCCACATTCACTTGGAAATAATCGTAAGGACAGATACAAAGACAATAATTACGGCTGTAGACCACTGAAACGAAATTTAAGTAAGACATCAAAAAGTGGCATTTGAGGACGATACAAGGTTTATAACCGAATCCATATACGAAGTATTATACAACGTATCAAGTGGCAAAGCATTAGGACGTTGCAACACTGCAACAACAAATCAGGCAAGCAATTCAAGCGTGCTTTGAAAGTTTACGGAAAATGATTTTGAGGCGTGCAACATTTTACATGGAAGATCCGAGGTTTCTTCAAAAAATGTTGAATATTGCTAAACCCATCCAAAGTATTCATACTTCGTGTTGTAGAATTAGTGGACGATGGTTCCTTGCGTATATCTCACGAAACTTTCAGAAATCCCTAGGAACACCTCAATTCTCCAAACGTTGTAGTTTCTAGGTATTGAATCTCAAAAGCGCATACTTTGCAAAACTCAGAGAGTTAAAGTTGCACCTGAAGTGTGCTTTAGCTAAGAAAACTCTCGATACATCTGGTAGTCAACTTAATTTGACCTCCAACAACAACATCCATCAATAGTGCGAGTAGAGGAGACTTGTAATTTTTGAGCTCTCGCTCTTAGGTCTTGAGGCTGTTTTTTTATTCAGTTGTATTCTTTGACGGTAGCAGAATTCTTTGCGTTTTTCCTGCCCAAAGCTCTGGAGGTAGTGACTGACTATTTGAAAGTATTTTATTTGCAAATTGTAGCCTGGTTTGTTTTTTGGGGGGTAAAGGAGCTGCTGATAAGATCAATTAAACCTTTGCAATCCCTGCTTTTTGTAATAACCTGGGAATAAGTATTGAGCATTACTTAAAAAGTGCTAGAAATACGGTGAGTGGGGAGTAAGAAAAAAGGAGTGAAAAGTCATTTAGCATACATTAGACTCAGGTTTAATACAATTACTTCCATGAAAAAGCATAACGCTCACCTCCATTTGAGTACATTTATCTTGTAGTCTGGACTTAAGCAGAAATAATTCGTACAATGCTCCTTCGAAATGTTCTTTTAGTTTCTGAGGCTTTAATTCTGTCTCTGGTGTAGGGATACCAAGCACACTTTTCGTAAGGCGATCCAAAAGTGCAACCCCATAGTTCGATTTCTAAATTTGTGTAAGACGGATGAAAACAAACTTACAACACTAGGAAATGATATACTGTCCACAATACTCATTGCCGCAACCTTGAGTTCGAAGTTAGGTCTTCCTATACAATTTCCAATAACTGTTTTCAAAGTTCAAACTTCGTCTTATAGAATTAGTGAACCGCGGTTGCTTGGATTCTATGTCTGTCTTATTGGAATACGTTATGAGTTAGGAATGGTCGCAATTATCTTCTCGAATCTGAAAAACCTGAAAGGATGGAGATACGATTATTAATTTATCTGGTCTCAAGGTAGTATTACTGCATCTGATCTGGGGAAAGATTCTCGAGTACAGCCCACTGGTATCGTAGGACTTGAGGTGTGCATCTAACCTCCTTTTAAAACTGTCAGGCATGGGGCTGTGACAACTGCTGACTGTAACCGCAACTTTGCCCATGCTGGCTGACGTGATCTTGCGAAGTAGGATTACGCGCAGGATACCTCTATATGTTTTAGCTACGTCGAGGAAAATAGCTCTTACTGGTTTTCCGGTGTTCCAGTTGAAGGTCCAATTGTCCCAGACAGTCGGTAAGTTAGTGACACATGAACGGCCACTGCAAGGTCCACGCTGGGCAGCATGGTAGATGTTTTAACTGCTAAGGAATTCTTAGATCTCATCTACTAACAGGCTTCCCAACACTGGAAAGTTCAAGGAGTAGGACAATCGGTCTGAGCTGTTCGATTTTTTCTGTCTCCTCCCTTGAGAATGGGTGGCAAGGTCGTGTGAATCCATTCCACAGGGTGTCTGCACGACTGCGATGAGCGCTCGAAGAGGTTACAGGACGGTTTCACTAGTGCCTGGGAGCAGTTATTAAGGATTACTTTTCCCAGGTTGTCGCAGCAAGGGGACTTGCCCGGACGGCTTTTGCGACACTGTCTTACGTGTGATGAGGATCCGACAAAGTCATTTATTATTTGTGGTCCGATAAGTGTCGTATTGATTCGGTGCTTTCGGATGCCGGAGTTGAGAAGGTGAAGATATTTGGCTCTCAGTTGTAGTGTTTATCAAGGTTATGAATCTTTGATGCAAAATGGTAATACCATGTATGAATTACACAGTTCTGGAATCAACAATGAAGTACAATAAGTAAGCAATTTGCGTATACATTCCCTCATAGACCTTTCATCATATCTCAAGCAAAAAGTGTAAACTGTTACAATGGAAGTATTGGCTTCAAGCTTTGTTTTTCTGCAGGTAATACACATGGTGTTAAGATACAAACCTGGTTTTTTTTGTCAATGCGAAGACAATACTTCCACTTGTCCAACTTGTAAATTTTTGCATACTTATTCTGCTGGGATGTTCCCTTATACGAACGTGCATCACTTATATCTTATAGCGACAATGGGTGGGAATTGAGACCACCTCACATGAATATGCATGCAACTTATATAGAAACCTACTCATACCTGTAAAAGTGGTCTATGCCTGCATACTCGGGAATGAATATTATTATTGGACAAAATGCTCATGAAAATAGGTGGTGGTGTGTTCATCATCTTACCCATACCCTTAACTAGGCTTAAACCGGAAGACAGGCGGTTAAAGCTTGTCTGGAAGGTGGCTCGGACCTTCTGGAAAGAGATGAGAGGGCAGGCATCCGAATGATCCCTGAGATGACTGACTGGAACATTGAGGATAAACTTAAGCAGCTGAACTTCTCCCTGTCCTATCTCAGCCAGGGGGCAGAACTAAGGGATTCTAAGAAACGACTTTGGACCTGATCGACCTTCTCTTTTCCTTCCCACCGGGGACAACAACAGTACACAATAGCAAATGCCGAAAGTAGCCTCCATAGCGTACCTGTTGTCGCATCAAGTAATCAGCTACCCGAAAGGAGTGTCAGAAGTAGTGGTGTTCGTTCCATCAATCCACCGGCTCGAAAGAGGAATGGACGAGCATGGGATCCACTGGAAAAGAAACAACATGGGCTTCAACAATCTATCCCCAAAAACAAAAATCTGAACCTAATAGATGGTTGAGTACTGATTAAATCTATCGAAAAGGACCACCCTGAAGTCTATTCTTCGTTCTTCCTATTGACTTAATGAGGTCTTGGTGTTTTCCGCGTCTGATATACGATCTACTTGGCCGACATCGTAACCGTGAAAACGTTCGCGCAATAGATCAAGTGCCAGCCCTGCCAGAGTTTGAGACATTTTGACGATTTCTGAGGCCCATCAACTTATATCTGAACACAATATACGTGAACCACCGGGTTATTTCCTGCGCAGAAGTGCTATATGCTCACACATATCGACCTCTCACATATTGGAAGTGATGCACTAGACCTTGATGTTGTCATTACACGCCTTAACGTGAGGCCATATGAACGAAAATTTACCTTAGTCAATGCCTGCAAACCTTCTATTCATATCAAAAGCGAATGGACCACAGTGGTTTGCCTTAATATTACTGGGTTGTGAGTTTGACATCACATACTGATAGATAGAGGAATTCGGACATGCAGACGCACTCTCAGGACTTATGATGTAGTATACTACTCCCAGACAAGGTACGTTTATCGCATTCTTATCCGAAGATAATGCCGTTCTCTTTTTAGATGTCGTTGTTAAAATGCCCCCGATAACTACGACTGAAATCAAAAATTAATCCTCAAGGGACTGAATCATATGGAAAGTCCTTTTTTTGTTCAGACGAAATAGACACAGAGATCCTTAACCAGTGGCCTGAAACAACTCTTTTAAAGGAGGAAACCCTTTTGTGCCATAGACAATTGCCATAAGGTCGGTGAACGTGTGGCGGTCTTTATTTACCTTCGCTTACAAATTCTAAGCCAGTTCCGCGCTGGTCATCCAGGAACAGGTATGTAAAAGATTCCACCGAAAGTTACGTTTATTCTCCCAAACTAAGATCTGATGGAACTGGGTACCATGGTAGGTGCAAATCATATCAAGTAACATGTGACCGTCCAACCTGTCTTCTACGAAAGGGTTGGGAGTGGCGAATCTCTCGTAGAGCAGACTCCATAGTTTTCGCTAGTTCATAATAGGGACAGACTATCCGGTTGTGGTTGATGCTTATTTCCAGTGGCTGGAGGCTGCTGAGATACTGTGGTTAAACAGACAGACGAAATCAGTGTCAAACCTCATAGACAAATGGATCGGTGGTCAGGTGTACTCAAGGTTATGTCCATTAGTGCGTCTTCAACGAACTTGAATTGGAACGATGACTTGACATCCCTGACTGGCACCAAGTTGTCACCAGTTTTGATAAAAATCACGTAAGCTCTTACATGGCTTTGTGAGTTTAGGAATTGAGGTTCGATTGGCATTATATACCTGCTTGTTGCTCCCCTCACAGACAGACACTGCCACAACACCCCACAGTCGATAGTGTCAAATGTCGCCTTCGGATCAAGAAATATGGCAAGTATCAGGCACCGGTGAGTAGGTGTGACTGTGTTCCTAAACCTGTTGCAGGGTAAAAATGTCACCAGTGCACTATCGTCCAGGTCTGAAACCTGTCTGTTTTCTCTCGTTTGTCATTCTGGAGCTCCAATTAGGCGTCCGATAGGCATGAATCTTAGGATCTTGGACACAGTGTTGGTCAAACTGATTCCCCTCTGGTTGCTAAAAGAAAACTTCTCTCCCTTCTTATAGATTGGGACGATAAAGTGAGTAAACCAGTTTGATGGGACTACCTATGGTTCCCACACGTCACCCAGCACCTCCCTCACTTAAATCAGCGGTTTCCCACCTTTATTCCTGAAAACGTTTGGTGAAAAGTATGGAGCTCAGCTGTTTTGCATCTTGTTGGGTTTGACACAGCTTGCTCAACTCCGACGAGAGTTGGAGAAGCGACATCTACGCCCCGTTCAGGCTCAGGCTGGACGTTGGGCAACTGAAGCCTTGCTGAAAGCCAGTGAAACTGTGCTTCAAAATGTTCTGCCAAACGTTCTAGCCGTCTGTCCTGGAAGGTTCTCAGCGTCCTGTCCCTTTGGCTGATGGTTTCAGTAACCATCGTCTTCTTTTTGCCCATATCTTTAACAAGTCTGAATAGTTGCTGAGTGTTACCCAACGCTGATGCTTTCTCCATCTCAATTTCGCCACCCACCACTTCTGACGATCATTGGGAAGACTTGGTCAATTTTCGTTTAAGTTGCTTTCGGTCTTAAGTGTAGTCGAAACCAGCTGGAACTAGTCTTCTTGCAGCAATCAGTTGGAATAACGCTGCCTAAATCCACTGACGTTTACTAACCTTTGGTTGTAGGTTACCAACTGTCCTTACAGCCGTTTTTACAGCAGACTTAGTATTACGTCAGGTTTCCCCTGGATGGGGATTCCTGTCACGTCCAGATAAATGCCTAGCTAATTCCTCTTTAAGTGTGTGCTTGGCGTTCTCATCTTCTAATGGAGCTCATATAGGTCTTCTTGTTTCTTGCGGCCGGTAACGCACACGAGCAAGTACAAGTACAAGTGAGTGATCGGAGTTCAAACTGTTATTGCAGGAAGAGCCAATCCCCCACCTGTCCAACGATAGTTTATAGCAACATGAAATGTCTATCATTGGTTTGAATTCGGCGGATGTCATGTGATACAGTATCTCTCTTTATGTCTAAAGTTTGTGTCGATCAGAAACACGTTTGAGAAGTTAACCTTGCACGAACTAAAGATTCATCAATGCTATGTACCGTCATGGGTGTTATGGGACTATACCTCTTAGGGTTTTTGATCAAGTGAGACCTAGCTGGTGAATGGTCCGCTAAAATGCTGCGGTGGGTCGAAATTCGTTTCTGTGTTGTGTGTCAACCTAGGGCCTCGGGCTTGTAGATGCCGCTTGACACAGTTGCATAGCTCTGTTACCTGTGAATCCTGACCTATGGGCTTTCCGTTGACAGAAAACACGTTGTAGGCAGGTCTACCAGAGCTCTTTCGCTTTTTATCGGCGGGGCTGCAGCGTCATCGATGGTAACCGACTTAAGTATCACCATCATCGTTTGTGCCTTCTGTGGTAGTTTCGAAGGAAGTAACTCACTGGAACGACCGTCACTGCGCGTTTTCTGGTCAGCAGCTTGAGGCATGAGCGTGAGTACGTAAGTGGTT